CAATGTCCTGCACAACTACTTGATTTTGTAAGTTGCGTCGCCTTCCACCTCTGTTCGATGGCAGTTATTTGGGGAGAAACTGGACGAATTCCTGGAAAACTGGGAAAAGTGGTAGGAGGCGGGAAAACTTAAGAAGATGGTAGGTAGAATAGGAAAGGGGTAGGATAGTCGTATATTGCAAAAAATTCTCTCCAGCGACTAGAAGTGCCCTGCCTCAGCTTTTACTTTCCGAAACCCTACGCGCTGTTCCCTTCGCGGCACACACTACCCGAACTCCAACACAGACCGCAAGTTTTTGCTACTATAATTCAAATAACCAGGAGAGATTAACAATTTTGTACGATAGTACAACCTCTAGAAGGTTTTTTCTCTCACATGCTCTCCTATCCCTGAACATTAACGCTAGCTTCCGCTACCTAATAGTATCCGCATGCGATAACGGATTCACGGTGGGCTTCGGCCTCTGGAGAAGACCAACACGTCGCCTTTTCCGCGTTTCCTAGTTTGATGCTTCAATCATGTCAGTGAGAGGTCAGCCCGCGGCAACTAGCTGACAGCCAGGCAGCTAGACAGCTTGGTAGCATGGTCTGAGTACAAATGAAAAAGTATTCCGAACAAGAAACGAATATATAGTGTAGTTCTCTGCGGACGGTTGGGCGTGTCAGTGCGGCTGCGTTTGGCGCGGTGCCAAACCCGTTCTCCACCAGTTGTTAAAGCGAGCAAATGATATGACTGTATCATATCGATCGTATTACTCGTTTTCTACCACTTTTTGTCGCATGCGCGCTTCAACAAGAAGGCAGAGAACGGCCTTGACGCTGTGCACACTCATACTGGCTGACACGCCCAACCGTCCGCAGCGAAGTAGAGTGTAATAATATCTACGTGATAGAGCGAAAACGTATAGAGACACACTCACGATGACCGATTGGGCGGGGTCTTCATTGGTGCGCCTTCCAACAGAGCAAAGAATAACGCAATGGAGCACACAACAGTTGTGAATTTTTGATGGAATAGAGCGAACCGATGCCAAAACATTTTTTCACCTCTAGATATTTGCAAGTTTTAT